AATAATTTTAAAAATACTTAGATAGCATAGCCTATCATGAGCATGATGTGGATAATGTTTAAAATATAATTATGTCAAAAGCATTACCTTGATTTTATTATTCATTCAGAACAAGAAAAATATATATAAACTAAGTAATTCAATTATTTTGTTAAAGTTTATTATTGATTGTTTAACTTATTTTTAATTAGTGGGTCTCCTTTTAATTTTTATATTAGTTAAATAATATAAATACTTTATGCATATAAAATAATAATAATAATTAATGTTATTTTAAATTTTTACATAAAAAATAAATACAAATAAATTTCTTTCTACCTTTCTAGACAAAGAAATAAAAATATTGTATCTTATATATTTATCCGACTCTCATATATCATTTTCTATCTTATCATGTTTACCAAATGACCTTTAAAATTTTTGTACATAGATTAAAAAAAATTTAGTTGATTGAATATGATGAAAAGTGTTTTTTTGGTATTGGTTTGTGCTCTAAAATTGACCTATTTTGTCTATTTTACTTTTTTTAATCTTTTTCTTGAATGCTAGTTTGTGCTCTGAATGTAATCTTTATAAAAGATGAACATTTTTCATCACAATTCTGTGATCTTATCTCTTTCTTGAATGCTAGTTTGTAGGATATTTACAAGCAAGAATGCTAAATAAATAGAGCATTACAACAATACACAATATTTATAACACAAAAAAGCACATATACTCATATTTAAATTAATTTAGAATTTTTAAAACTTTAAAATTCAACAAAATAAGAAGTAAGCTCACAATTTCCCTTGCTAGGAAAATGCTGTCTTCTTTTATCTATCTCCTTTTAAATTAGCACTAGTAAAAAAAAAAAAAAAAACAAGTTAGACTACCAATATTAAATTAGCCACTAAAAAATCAGCTTCAATGGTCTGAAGACTTTCAATTTTTTTCCCTTTCTTATTTGCACAAGTACAACAAAAAAAGGTTTGACAATCAATGAAAACAATAACTACCAAAAAAAGTAACTTGAAAGAATATAATAGTGTGGTGGAGTTCTAGCAAGTTTAATTATAATAAAAAAATGACAAAAAAGAAAAAGAGATAGTAAGAGGATGAAGGGAAAACAATTCGAAAAAGAATGAAATATTTTAGACTGAAAAAAAATTCAAGAAAAATCCATTAAATAAGTAAAAATTTTCATTAAAAAAATCATAAAAGAAGAAAGCTCTCCACACTGTAATAATGAGAGTGAGTGAACTGCTAAGAGAGCACGTGATGATGTAAAAGATTCAAGCCCATAGCTTTCTTTGAAGCCCAAACCAACAATAATTAGGTGGAAACAAAAAAGAAAATTGGGTTTGATACCCAAAAATAGGGACGACCTAAGAGCTTATTCTTCCACCAGGAGTACTCCAAGGCAACAATGTTGGGCCAGCCTTACTGGTTTTCTTTTTTATCATTTTGAAAATATGTAGATTTTGGTATAATGTTAAATTAAATTGTTGAAAAATCAAAAAACAGAATTTACGTTCTGTTGAATTTTCATAATTTGGTGTTAGAATTTTACCCATATTTAGGTTAGTGAAGTTCTGATAGATTAATAGTCTCTTTTTTGTTCATGTTGATTAAATAAATTTTTAGTCTGTTCTTTTAATTAAAGACATGTATATTTATTTTTTATTTTATGACTTTAATTTTTTTTTCCTTTATGTTATAGTAATGGTAAAAATAATTCTTTGATATCATTAGTATATGTTATATAATTAATTTACATTAATTTTAATTTATAACTATTTTTCATATTTCAATTGTTTCCAATGTATGTTTACACTTAAAAAATCGTATGCATTATTTTTTATTATATATTTCTGCGTTATTGTATAATGAATTCAGTATTTTATATTGATGAATACATTTTATGTAATATATTTAAATTATTTTTAATATATAGTTATTTTTAACATTTATTTAGTGCTTATTTATATTTGATATTAATTTATATTACGATGTAACTGTAATTTATAGTTTTTGTTATAAATTTAATTTATTTCTACAGTTCAAATACGATAGGCGTGATTATTGAATTTTTTAAACTAAATTATGTAACAAGTTTAGAGTTTGTGTTTAATATATATGATGTTAATTGAATTTAATTTACTGTTTTTTTTTAACTTGCAGGAAGAGTAAAATTATGATCATTGTATACTCAAATGGGAGAATTTTTTAAGGAGATGAGATGTCACTTTTGAAGGCAATAAAAGAATTATTAAAATAAAAAGTGACATAAATTTAGTGCTATTAAAAAAATATCCATACAAAACTTAAACTCACTTATCATCACATTATTTTTAGGTTGATATTACAATTTTTGACAAAAGTAGTTGCTTACAAGACACTGTTTTGGAAATATGTGATTATGAAATGATTAATTGCAAATAAGTGCATGCTTATGAACAATAATCTAAATGAGTTATTTACGAATGTTGCCATTGTGGGACTTCTAAGTTTCATTGGAACCATTAATTTGAATTTGTCATTCTCATTGTCATGTCATGGACTTAGTAAAGATATACTGATCGTTGCAATTATTACATGTTAAAAATGTTAACAATTTTTTGAAATTTCACGTAATGTGTAATCTAATAATAGGAAGTTATGGCAATGGTGTTTTTCAATCTGATCATCTTGGTGAAGATTATTTCCCTATATATTGCAGAATGACTTTGGCGAAGGAAAAGTTGAAGACGAAGATTAAGGGAAAATTTCAAATGACAATTCTTCTAATATTAATTTGGTGAGTAATTTTGATTGAAATTTGAATGTACTTCGTATGAGTATCCTATTTGACATTTTAAAATTGGATTTTGTCTAGCTTGATGTGTCATAATTTAAGAGTTATAAAGTTTAGTGTTTAACTTGTAAAAATACTACAACTTAGCTAGGATCATATCTAAATTTACTCATTGAGTCTTATTTTTATATTGGTCCACTATTGTTTCATTCCTTATTTACTAAAGTTATGATAAAATTAATATAAAAACCTACAAAATTATCTTCATTAATATATCATTTCAAAATTAAGTCAAACTACAAACTTATGATATAAGTATGAATTTGATTTAATATTATTAATTTTTTTAAGGAAAAATAGAAGAAAGAAAGCTTTTACACCTATTGACGACATAGTATTTTAGATGTACCAGAGATACTAAAAGATAAAGAACTATAATTTAAAATTCTCATATTGCTAAAAAAATTAATAACTAAAATATATAAGACATTATATATATTTTTTATAAATTGCAAGTTACTGTGTTATTATTATGTAGTTTTTTTAATCCAAAATTTAAACCTATTATTTTTACTTAGTGTTTTTTTTTCATATCACATAAATTGTAATTATTTTATAATTAGAATAATATTGTTTTCACTCATTAAATTTACAGTATTATAAATGCTATCGTTTATTTTAGTACATACTTTTTTGTTATTCTTTTTTTTTTTGTTTAGTAAGAAATGTTATGAAATAAAATTAACTAAAAAAATAATTATTTTTATAGTCATGACAAAGGGGTTAATTAGTTACATATTTAAATTAAAATGAATTCCCCATAATTGCGGCGTGAAATTGCAAATGAACCAAAATTGAACATGTAAATAAACCAAATTATTAATATTTTAAGCGAAGTATAATGTGAGACAGAGACTTTATAACTTTTAACGAAGTTGTGTCTTCAATTTTATTTTCCAAGTGTCACAATACAGTTTCGTGTTAAAACCAAAATAGGCTTTTGAAGATATAATTGATATTAAGCTGATTTTTTAATCAATTTGATCGTTCATAGTCTAAAATAATGATAAATTAACGAGCTTATATAATTAATGTAACACATATATATTATGCGCATTAAAAAAGAGTACACATAAATAAAAATATCAAATTAATGATAAATATTTCTGCTATATAGCCCTGCATGTGCAAATCCTATTCTATTGATGCATCCACTTAATTCGAAGCTTGTTCATAATTCCCTATTATCTCCTTTTGTTTTCATTAGAGATGAGAGTAAGCATTATATATTTGAACATGCAGACGATGGATGGGATCAAATATTGCTACTACTTGATCATAGTCTTTTGGGGTTTTCACTTCTCATTATTCAATAAAGTGAAACGGTTGAAGCCGGGAATTGAAACTTTGTCAAAGATATGGTTATAGCCCAATTTAAATCTTTACCCACAAACCACAATCACATCAAATGACACCATCAAAAGAAGATCCACTTAAGAGGCGCACCCATGTGCTTTTTTATCTTTTCATCCATTCTTCTGCCTAATTTTGTGGTAGCTAAATGTTGAATCTTTGGTGGCGTGGTCACCTATCTTCGCCTCCCCTATTCAATTAAAACTCTTGCAAGGGAATGCTCTTGTCAATGCAATCGACCATTCTCCCACACCTTTCCCTTTTCTTTCTTTTGGGCCCAATTTGCTTTATTGTCTCCTTAATTAACTTTACCAAGTCCAAAGAAAAATATTTGTCATAGTGGTTAATTATAGTGGAATGCCTCCTCATTTGGCTTTTCTGATAGGAAATAGCAACATTAAAAGATATCAATGGGTGTCCATAAAAAAGAAAGAGACATTAATGGCTAGTTTTCCTCTTATAATTAATAAAGTTTCAATAACAAAACAAAGGAGATATAAAAAATATATTGACATACCAAATGGGCTTCTGAGATCAGATTGTACCTTCTTTTGTCCTATTAGTTAACAGTTATTTCGGTTGTTGAGCTTTATCGATTGCTCCAATACATTATTAAGTATGAACACGGTTGATGGGATTTGATGATTTTCTATTCGTGTGTACATGCCTTCACTTTATTCATGGTTTTAGTCAACACAATGGCATTGTGTGTCTGCGCATGTGTCGGTCACATGGGACGAGAGAGACAGAAGATAGAAAAAGGGGTTTAAAATATACTCATATATAGTAGTACTAACTTTGTATATTATATAATATAATAATAGTATCAACTCTTCTGCACTTGGTTTTCTCTTAGACCATCAAAATTCTTCAGCTTGACTTGGTTCTAAGAGTAACAAGTGGAGGTTGTAATCATGAGCAACTCAGAAGACTAAAGAGAAAAAAAGAAAAGACAAACAGCAGAAAACAATCTAAGAAACCCAAAAAAGGGGGAAAAAGTGGATATATATGGAAATCCAAGGAAAAGTAAAAAACCAAAGCTATTGATCCACCATGTAGGCCTTTTCTTTTTTTGTTTTTCCCAATTTCCCTCCCTTTTCTTTTGGAAAATATATATATGTTTTGGTTTCCTTTTTGGAATGAATGGATCAGCCAGAAGTTGCATGATCAATCATTATTAGCAAGGAGAACCTTTTTTACAGCTAAGTGCACCAGCACCTGTTGTTATAGAACCAACAAGGGAAGATGGTCTTGCACTTAAGCTAGAAGCCCTTGCATAGCTAGAGGAGGCTCCAGCACCCGATGCAGTGAAAAATGCACCATTTATTAACATGTCCCCTTCTGACCTCCAGTTCCAATTCCTCCATTCACTCTCTGGCGCATCTTCATGTTTTGTCACCTACACATTTTCACCAATTTTAATTTTATGTATATTTAATTAATCATAGTGTATAAAAGATAATGACTTAAGATACTTACGATACAAAATAAATACAAAAGTTTATTACTATATATTTTCCTTAAATAATTAATCACACACACACCTCTTTGCTGAATCTGTCATCGGGTGCAAGAAATCTGTTGCCTTGGCTGTTGATGGTTGGACTAGCACTTCCCCCAATGGCATACATTTCCCAGTGAGTATAATCATTGTTCACCACATGGAAATACCCAAGCCTACACCTGCAAAAATTTCACAAATATATTTCAACTTCAATCAACAACTATACAAAAAAAAATAAAAAAAATCTTTAGCCCTTAAAGTCGAATTTAAGAATTTAATAATATTATATTTTATTAAAAATATTTATTATATTTTTATACCTTTAGTAATAAAAAAATAATATTTTTACATGCTTAACGTCAACACAAGTTGAAGTTAACGGTCTATATATTATATTGCCCCACAGAGTAAAAGGCAATTAAGAGAATTGTCAAAGTAACTCATTCAGTCCCACATCGATTTCCATCCTTTTCACACAACCTTTCTTATGAAGACACGTGTTAGTTATTACTACTATTATTAAAATTTTCTTGTTGAGTACTTGAGAGTCGCGGGTGTGGTGCTTAATATTGAGAGAGAAAAGAAACAGAAAAATAAAATAAACATCATTTAATTAAATTTTATGTTTTACCTTGGCATCCTTTGAACAAGGCCTTCCCCAAAGTGGTTGAAAGCAATTGTGACTTGCATGTCCTTGTCTTGAGTGTAGGAGTCGCTGTGACCCAACAACATGACCTTATCATGATGTGTCATGTAATTGTTGGATATGGTAATAGCTGTGGACCCATGTATGGCATCGATCAAACCATCGTTGCAATTGGACAATGAACAATGATCGACCCAAATGTGACTTCCCCCAAAGATGGACACACCATCACCGTCCGATACGGTTCTCCACCCGTAGTGCCGTGGGGAGTCCCTCACCATAGCATTCCCTCCTTGCTTGCAATCGTGTATGTGAATCCCATGAATTATAACATTGGTCACGTATTGTATCGTAATGCATGGACCCCCAGCAACGTGCACACTAGCGCCTCTACCATCAATGGTCTTGAATGAGTTCATGATAAGCTCTTCCGTTAGCTTGATCACCATGTCTCTGGCGAAGATGATCCACAATGGTTCATCTTGAATCACCGCGTGACGGAGGGTTCCGGGTTTTGGGTTCACCGGATCGTCGTCGCCGGCGTCGTCCACCACGTAAATCTTACCGTCCCTTCCACCAATGGCGTTCTTGCCGAACCCAATTGCACAATCTGCTAGCCTTTGCCTATTCTGCTCCCAATTTGGGTCACACCTCCAACAATCATCAATGGGGTTCCCACTTCCACATGAGAGGTACCCCAAGCTCCTCCTAGGCCTAGGCCTAGCTGCTGAGGCATTGATTTTCCTGTATCAAAAAATTTATTAATAATTAGTGGCGTTTAGTGGTTCCGATATTTATTTTAAAAAATAGTTAGCTTTTCAATTTAGAAAAAAATAAATAAATTGGCAGACACTGTGCAATGCATGTCTATACCTAAAAAGACAGGAATAAAAGAACAAAAATGATTAATATAATAAAATCTAATGTGACAAGAAGAGAGATATAAAAGAACCACAAATGTCAAATGGATAGTGAAATTGTTGAAAAGTTTATAAATGAAAAAATTGTTCTCAAAAAGCATTATGTGATTACTTTCTACCTAAACACGCGCAATCCAATGTAGATCAATGTTTTGGAAGACAATATATCTCTACTCACATGAACTTGATGAAAATGATAAAAGTGATAATTCCTAGTACTCTGGAGTGAATTGGAATGATGTACGGTAGAGGGTAGCATGTAAGACATTACATTGAATAATACAAATTGCACATGAAATGTAAGTGTGTAACATAGAATAGTAGCACTAGCTAGGGTGTGAGTTTACCTGTTTACCTCTTGCACGACCGATTCAGGGTTTTGAGCAGGTGAGGAGGAAATGAGGGTTGGAGTGAGAAGAGAGAAGAGGAAGAAAAGCAAAGAGAGCATGATGGTGGTTCTCATTTTGAGTCCTCTTTGGTAAGTGAGTGAAAGGAGAGAGAGATGAGAAATGATGTACGTAGGAAGAGGTGTATATAAAGAGATAAAAGCCGGGCTAAATGGCGTGATTAAACTAAACATAAGGGACCCATTTGCTCCCTGATTTATGTTTTTACGGGGATGCTTATTGGGTAGTTTTGGCCGTTAAGTGAGGCCTAAATGATGGTGGAAGATCAAAAGAGTCAAAGAATAAAACTTGATAGAAAAAAGGGGATGAAATGAGAAAAAGGGTATATACAGTAAAACCCATGTTACTTTATTTAACTAGCGAGTAAAATAATGTTTGGTTACGTACACTTGAGAGTAGAAATTAGATTATACTACAAATATAGAAGTATGAAGTTACGCACATAATTCTGCAACTGCTTTCAGAGGGTAGTTAATTAGGTTTTACCAACCTCATTAATTGAGATGAAGATGGAATTGATTGTGCAATCGCATGCGGGGGTCCCTTAAAATCCCTAATGACGATGTATTCAACAAGTTCCTTTCTTTCCCTCTTGCATAATCGTTGAGAATAATGAAATTAAGCACAGGAATCACGTAATGAGTAATTAAATTAATTAATGAGGCTGAAAGTGGAAGCCTCCTCGTATAATGGAGTAATGGGCAATTCTAGATTAATTAATTAAAAATTAAACAATATTGATCGTGAAAGTAAATACTTCTTCTTCCACCTAGTTCAATGGTATATTCTTTTGGTGGCAATTTCTTTAATTTATATTTTGATTTGGTTTGAGATTAGATGATATGAACGGTGGGTTGAGATTTTAGACATTAAATCTTTACCCAGTGGAAAATATTGACTTATTTGCTCTAATGGGTCCATCTCTTGCTTTAATTTAATTAGTTCAAGAGGCATCTTGGAAAATTCTAAGAGTTTTATTTCCAATTGGATCTCAAACATCAACAAAGCAACAATAACATGTAGCATAGTTGATTGATGGAATACAATTTCAATTACCAAATAATACATGTTCCTAGTTTCGTCGTGATTCTTGCCTGTCAATTTTTTTTTTCTTGAATACGTGCTCTTTTTTCTTCAGTCAATTTGCTCAACGTTTTTATGATATAAACATTACAAAATGGACGGATTAATTAGACATTTGTGACCATGTAATTTTATTGCTAATATTTTGGTTTTGTTAGAGAGAGAAATGGAGATTGTTATAATGTTGTGACGATAACATAGAGCGACAGCCGTGAGCTTTAATGAAGACGTGGACAGCACCCTATGCCTTTTTCTGTCTCTTATATTCGATATTTGATTTCATCTCCTCCACCATGCATTTGCATGCCTGCTGTTATGCATATTTAGTCTCATAGTCATATAGAGAGTGCTTCCACTTTAGTCATTGCTAGATTATTGCTTCCTTCATCAACCATATTCTCCATTTCATGGGGTCCCCAAATACTCCCTTTGCTTCTATGTCAAGCCAAAACTATTCTCTAACTGCTCATCACAATTCTTTGATTAATTAGATAAAAAAATATTACTTAAACTCATTTATGTGTATATTAAATCATGTTGTAACGAGAATGGGAGAGGAACTATAAATCTACTAATTTGACAAATGATAATACTACTTATGCAGAATCGATAGGAAGAATCCTATCATTTTGATAACTTCAATGAATAGTGATTATTGAGATAAAATATCAATTTCAATTAAAAATAATGTTAAAAATATTTATAATGACGTGTTTAAGTTATATTGCAAGTAGAAAATTTTGTATATAAGTTTAGTCTTTAAATAAATTGGTTATTTAATATATTTCTTTAAGATTAAATTTAAAAACTAAGACTAAAATATTTTTTAAAAATATACAACAATAAGTGTTTTATTTTTAATATTTTATTTTGTTTTTTAACTATCCAAAATTATTAACAAAACCCTAAATTAATAAGACTAATCATTGATAGAAGCATGCATGTTAATTTTTAAGAGTATAGTTTTAAAATTTGGATTGAATTGACTAAGAATCAGGGAGAATTGGTACAGACATTTAGAAATTTGGTAGAAAAAGAATCGATGAAAAGCTTATCAAATCAATGAAAATGAAGTATTAATCGTTTTTTTTTAAATATTTTTTGTAAATTAATTTTAAAATATTTTAAAATAAACAAATTGTTATGTATAATATATATACATATCATTATTTAATTATTTATTACATCTTTATCTTATAAAATATATAATATTTTTCTTTAGAACTTTGCTTAAATTAATTTTTTATAAATTTATACTAATTTATTATTTAATATATTATATAGTATTAAAAATATATTTAATTATTATCGATTAAATCTCATTCAACTACAGTTAAAATATTAAACCAATCAAAATTTTAAAATATTATCTAAAAGTTAAGCCTGATAGGCCAACATATCGCTATTTTCTGCTCTAATTATTCTTTTAATTTGTTTGATAATATTAAGAAAACTCGAGCCGCAAACTTTGTGGGAATTTCACAGTTAAGAATAATGAAAAAAATTAATTCAGGTCGTAAAAATAAATTTAAGTAATTATTAATAATAAAATTTTGTATATATTTTTTATTTTTAATATAATTAATATTTTTTAATAAAAATAGTTTTTAAATATTTAAAATCAACCTTAAAATCTAAAATTTACACAACCGAAACGATAATTACCATATTCTATCAAGTCATGGCAGAGTGCCACAATAGAAACCTCTTACTATTCTCAGACACTCTAGCCAAAATTTACTGCCGTTCCTTTTTCTTTTCACTGTAACATTCCTCTGTAAAATTAAAGTTAAAGTTGCAAATCATTAAAAAGATGAATTAATCAGTGAAAATTTGTTTCAGTTTAAATTATGATCTATTTTAAAATATTTAATATATGTAATTATGTTAAATAGTCAAAAAATAATTTTATATGCAGTAATTTTATCCAGTTTAATTATCAATTGTTCCTCCTTTAACTGTCTTCTAATCTTTGATCAGGCGTCCTGCTGCTGATTTGATGATAGGAAAAATACCTGCAAAAGGCACTCCGATGATAAAGTCAGGATTCGGTTCAGATCATTAAATAACATTTATTGCTCAGAATCGAATCCTGACTTTATCATCGGAGTGCCTTTTGCAGGTATTCTCCCTATCATCAAATCAGCAGCAGGACGCCTGATCAGAGATTAGAAGACAGTTAAGGGAGGAACATCAATAATCTATTTTGATGAATTTGTAAGCAGGGAAGACTTTAACTAGGCCTTAATTGCATGCTCGGGCCTTAAATGAGGCAGTGTCTTCTTTTTCTTAAATTTTTAGTTGGCGAAAAAAATAATGAATGATTTGATGGGTGATTTTGTGTGAACATGGGAGATGGTTAATTTGCAGAATAGTAGGAGAAATCCCACTTTAACAAAAAGGTTATTTGTAGGACCAAAGTGAAGGTCTTTGTTAAGTGGTTAAGGCCAGGTTCAAATAAAAGCACAGCCATTTTAGTTGGCTTTGGTTGAAAGAGGTGGTTTGGGCTACAATTACTTGGCACCCTATGCGTACTCAAAACACCTTCTGTTTATTACTTCTTCTCTATCTTTCGGGTGCACATGCAATACTTCAAGGATCACATGTTTCACATCAAAGCCCTCATTTTCTGTTTCTTCTTTTTTCTGTCACTCTGGTACAACACAAGCATATTGAAGAGAAAATTCACTTTTTACTTGCCCATTTTAAAATATTTATTATTAATTAAAATATATTAAGTCTTATGAAAATATAAATTAAACACGAGTCATATTCGCTAGTCCTAAAAAATCTGAAAAAAATAATACAAGGTATATTGATATGATTCTTTTATTCTCCATTAAATAGGAAAGTATGGAATTATGACCCAAATGCACCATCATGATAAGTCATTTATATAAAACGTTTAATATTAGGTTTAACCAACATCATTCATTGTCTGAAATAATTAGAATAGAAAGGCATTTAGTATAGAGATAATGGTACAAAAAGAGCCACAACCTATGATTTTTCATCCATATTACAGTAGGAAGGGTACCAAATGAGGCCCCTCATGTTAACTGGATCATCAGCAGAAGGCAATTCCAAAGTGTTCTTCCATGCATTGATCATGAGCACAGTACTCTCTGTCCTGAACCAATTCGGATTGGGATAACCAGATGAGAACTACTTTTTAACTAACAAGTTTGACATGAGAGTTGAAAAGATGAAAACTTTATTTTCTTTTACTGTACCAAGAATATCACCCAACCGATAATATTTAAGAATTAATTCTAATTTAACATATTTAAAAGACTCAATTATCTTTAAGAATATATCAACTGTGTATAAACTTTATTTTAGGTCTCATTCTTTGGATCATTATCCCCTCTTCCCCATGTATCAACATGCATGGTTCCTGTGCACAAACGTATAACTAAGTAGCGTGTTCAACAGCTATATATGCATTTGGCACATATCAAAAGTTAGAGATACGAGTAACTTTTATTGTTTTTCCCCATTTTCTTGTATAATTTTCTTGTTTATCCTTTTTCATCTATGTCTCCATTGTCTTTGTTTAAATCCATCCCCAACAGCCTCTTGTTGTCTACTCACGTTAATAACTTTTATATGTATATGTCAGGTGTCAATTAATCATTATGTAGCATCAATTATGTAAATTTGCATGGCATAGATGGTCGTAATTTAGCTATTCTCAAATAAAGACAAAAATAGGGATATCTGCTTTCCATTCTTTCTTAAAGTAGACTCTCGCATGCATGAACCGTGTTGAAAATGGAGCACTCTTCTTAAAACAACGTGTGATGCTGCAAAGCATTGCGAAGCAACTGGCTACAACCGTGCATTCATCGGTATCATTATTAACTTCGGGTAAAATTAAAAAAATATAATAAAAAGATGTAAATTATCAGTTTTAAATTCTTAATTAAAATTGAAAATTAAATGTTAACAATGATAACGTATGCCATTCTTTAAAAAAAGATATCTTAA